TAGGGAGCTTTAGCAACGACGACGGCGACGGCAACGAAAACGTCGTGTCGAAATCTAACTTTTCGTTTTTGTAACTCTTTCGAGATTATTCCGATGTGTTTCACTTGGAAAATTCTGGCGAACTATTCAGGGACTATATCACTACGAACGGCGTTAAAGTAAGGAAAAAGAAAGAAAAATTAACCGCCATGCGCTCACGTTCTGGAGAAAACCTAAAATTTGGTAATTTCACGTTGCTGTTTTGCTGAGAACGGCAAAGAAATGTACCAAAATGTTAAACGCACGTGCAGGGCGATTGCTTTTGCTCATTAAGCCTATTGTTTTCTGCCGTTCTCGTTGCCGTTGCCGCTCTCGTCGCTAATTAGGCGATAGCCGAGAGCGACTCTAGCTTCTTGAGCGACTCTAGCTTCTTGCTTTACACATTTTTTTTTTGTTTTCGTTTTACGACGTCCACTTTTCCTTCGTGGTTTTCCTAAGGCTCCTCCTCAGTAATATGTAGAGACGGTCAGTACCATGGAATTTGATAACCTTTGTTACATAATAGAGAAAACTTCTCTGCGACAACCTCCGTGTCTCTAAGTCTGATTACAAAAAACACTGCTAGGACTAAGCTTTGCTACCTGCAATTTTCAGAAGTCAGTTATGGGGCTTTTATCTTTTTATAAAAGTTGATATTTCTTACTGACAGGATTACGGTTACAATACTTTTCGATCGAGTCTGAAAGAAATCTTTTCTTGCTTTGGTTTCACCTTGCAACACTTTATGTATGGTTTAGGGAACCTTGCGCAGAAGTTTGAACTAAATGCCTAATCCTACAGCTTTTAAAAGGTTGTGTTTTCCTTGTTCCGGACAATTTACCTATTTTGTTTTGTTTCAGTTTCTATCGACTCCTCGTAATATCTCCTTTCGCCCTCACTGGCCTTTGTGATTACTCTACGTAGTTTCGGTCACTCAATCGAAAGGCACTCTTAATGAAATTGTCGCATGAATTAGTCGAAGGAAACCATGCCATTGGGTATGTGGACCTTTAGCACTTGTATTCACAAAAACGTAGGCAATCCTTCCTTAAAGGGCCCCTTCTTCACTTTCCTCATTCAACAAAGTGAAGTTTCTCTTCAAATAATATTAATCTTTGAGATTTCCTCAACAGAACAGGAAAGCCATAGCATTACTCTGCATTAAACAGGCTGTTCTATGATAAAGCGTGTAGATAAATTTCTTTAGTATATCAATCTTTACGTCATATGGTCGTGACTTACGCTTTTAAAGTATCAGCCGTGGCCAAACAGAGCGAGGGTAAGTGAAGTGAAGTGTGAAGCGAGTGAGAACTGAGAAAAAACATGTAAGCGGTGCTGCAGCTGAAGGTGGTAAAACACGATCGGTGGTTAGGCCTGATGTGTCTTGTTCTAGCTAATTACAAATCATAAAGCAATTTCCGATTACTTTTAAAACTCAAGGCTAACGATTGCACGTTCTGTTATCATTATAATCAAGAAAAATCTTTAACGACAATGACTTATGAGAAGTAACATGTTTACAGTAGGTATATTTCCGAGTGTTAATAATGAGCTTTTGAAACGCATGACATAGTACCGTTCTCTCTTTCTCGTTTTTTCTTTTTTTTTAATTGGTAGTAAATACAAAATAACTACCGGTTAAGAGTGCGATACTTCCATGAGATCTTCCACCTGTGCAACTGGTTAAAAATGTTTTAATAGATACAGTGTTTGCGCGTCTCAGGGTGAGTCAAGGAAACGCTTGGATTGTTACATTTACAATTTTAAGGAAACCTTTACTATTAAAGTTGATCTCTCGAAGTTGACAAAGGTTCGATGCAACAAGATTCCAATATAACAAATTCAATGATAAAGCAGTGAACAGCTAGGTAGAGCGATTAGGTTAAACGTGGACATGCTCAATTGTCCCTTCCCTAAATTAAGGGGCGCTTTCCGTTCAACAACAATCACCGGTTCAAAATCTCGGAACTTTAGCTGGCCGAATGGAACGCGTCCTTTTCGATAATTCGGGAAATTCCATTAAAGATGGTGCACTCAAAACGTATTCCTAAATTTTCGAAAAAATTTCCCAGAAGTTTTACCGTTCCATTCAATTTCGGACCGGAATTTTCGGAATTTTTGGTCGAATGGAAAGCGCCCCGTATTCCTAAATTTTCGAAAACTTATCTCGGAACTTTTCCGTTCCATTCCATTTCGGACCGGAAATCTCGAAAATTTTGTTGAATGGAAAGCGCCCAAGTTCAGTTTATATTTTCCAGGATAGCCTGGTGAATGGAAGATGTCACATGAATGTGTGGTTCACTCTTGAGTCGCAGAAGAGAATTCTGGTCTCTCGTGGGCCAAGTAACGATTGAATGAAAACATTAAATGAATTTTTTTATTTGCCTGTGACAGTATACACTAGGTACTTGTTTAAGCTTCCAGATCAATATCAATAAGTTCAAGGTGTTTTTCTCAATATCAACCACTCATGTTGAAATTCTTAAAAGAGACAGCAACCTTTTCCTGTCAGTATCAAGGGCTGCCATCAACACAAACTGAACGCGACAATTCTCAAAAGGTGGGTAAAAAAGTCTGTGATCTACAAACACAAAACCATATGTGAACTTGAAAAAAGATGAATTCTAGCTAGTTGCGCTTACAGAGCCACGTTGAAACAAATAACAATAGATGTACGGTGAGGTGACAGAAGGTTTCTTTGCGGCTAAGAGCTTGGCTTACTCCTAACTAAATTCAGACTGAAATTAAATCTCCCCATCACTCGAAAAAGATAACGCGCTTAGATATTCTTTTTTGCAAGAACTGCAATTGAGAGTCAAAGTGAAATATATACCCATCCTTTTGACTTTCGAAAAGCGCGATTCTAAAGTAACGTACAGTGTACAAAATTGCGAATGTAACCTCTTAAATTCGGTAGACTAGTTAGTAAAAAGTTTATGTACAAAAAAGTAAACCGAAGTAGAACAATAGAATACTATGATAAAAATGGTAACACTGTATCCGATTGAAATCTTTTAACATTAAATTTTTGTCCATAAATTTGCAAGGTAAAAATTTCCCACATGGGATGTTCGCTCTACGTTACATCTAAGAATAATGTCCATACTTGGCATTCAGTAAATCAATAAATAAATTCCTATTACTCGTAAAAAGTAAAAAAAAAAAAAAGAAAAAAAAAGGGGTCTCCACCACTTTACTGACAAAGAAAGTCAATTTCTTCGTCACTTTCTTCCAGCAGACTCTGATCCAAATCTACGGATGCGTTTTCACTGTTAAGGAAGATACCAGTTCATCTGCTAATTTGTTTTTCGACTACCTTAGATAGGGTTTGTTTGTCAATAAGTCTTCGTGTCTATTTTCCTGCTTGTCTGTCTGCCTTATCAATGATTCTCCTGTTCGTCTGTCTGTCTCCCTAAATGTCTGTCTGACTGTCCGCTACCGTCATTTCACCTGTCTATCTTTTCGACTACCCATCTGCCTGCCTGTTCGTCTGTCTGTCTCCCTAAATGTCTGTCTGACTGTCCGCTACCGTCATTTCACCTGTCTATCTTTTCGACTACCCATCTGCCTGCCTGTTCGTCTGTCTGTCTCCCTTCTTAAATGTCTGTGGCTGTCCGTCCGCTTCTGTCTTTTCACCTTTCATCGGTCTTTCCGTCTGCCTGCCTGCTCGTCTGTCTGTCTACCTCCCTACATGTCTCACTGTCCGCTTCTATCTTTTCACCTATCTGTCTTTCCGTCTGCCTGTCTACCTCCCTACATGTCTCACTGTCCGCTTCTGTCTTTTCACCTCTCTGTCTTTTGTGCCTGGCTGTTCGTCTCTGTGCCTTCTGTCTTTTTATCTGTGTCTGAGTACCTGTACACTAGCTACATAGTAAGGCCGTACCGAAGGCATAACTTAAGATCAAAGGATATTATTTTCTTTTTAGGCCTCTTTCCTTTTGGTTTTGTCTTTGCCTTAGACTGTCCCGCTGGTGGCATTTTTCGTCCCTTCACAACCTTCTTTGGCTTGGGAGCGCGCTTTTCCCGTGGTTTAGCACCAGGGGTTTTTATATTTCCCTATAAAAGAAACAACGATAAAACATTAAGGGATTCCGAGTAGTATTAATATGAAAAAGGGATTAAAAACAAAATGAGAGAGGTATACCTCTGGGTCCGTCATCTGACCCTCTCCCACGGGACTTTCTCTTCCTCCGTTCCCAGAATCATCGCTATCTTCTTCTGACGGGTCAAGCATCATCATCAGAGTTTTGAACTAAAACAAATAAGTTTTTTTATCAACGAGTATAAAATATAGCGATGCGTATTGCAAGCTTATATACTACAGGAGAAATCTGTGTTCTGAAAACCAAACCTATGACGTTATATGTATAAAAAGCTTTTTGAACTCGAAAAGCAAGGGCAGAAGTCAGGTCGGCTTTGTCCGAGCATCAGAATTAAAATAGATCTCTCTACTCAACCTTTCGGGTCTAAATTGAATTTTCACAAACTGTGGAAGCTCTTACAAAAAAGTATTTGGCGTGCTATGGCTCTTTACTGATAGGTTGTACAAGTCGTTGCGTACTCGTTGATTTAATGAATAAATGAGGGTTTTAACTTTGCTTGCTGGATTACTTTCTATGACGCACACATCATATGATCGAATCATACCGTATGATCCACAAACGGTCATGGGTAGGTTTGGTTCTCTACGTCTAACTCAGTTAAATGGATTACCAATATTTACGAAGTGCATTTGCATGGAGCTTAGAGGATTTACCAGACCGGCACATACCTCTAAATAGTCTTGTACAAGTCGTTCATGACTCCTAACCTCGTCTGGCTCTTCAACATAACGTAACACTTGTTCAGGGTTGAAGAAAACTCCTGCTTTCCTAGATACAGTCTTGTCATAGGTCTTCGTGGGTTCCGAGGGTGAATACTTATGACATTTACTAAAAATAAAGAAATAATGTTTAAATGAAAATCATCCTCACATCTCGAATCCCTTGAATACTAATTGTAGAACTCACTGGTAAATCTAAAGCAAATGGCAACAGATTTAAAGCTTTTCCCTAAAGCCTTCCTGTATTTTTGAGTCAGTAAACCAACATTGCTTCTACAAGAAAAAGGATTAAAAGGTACCACAGACGACACGTTTTCGACCAATAAGTCACGCAACCCTAATAATCAATTAATAAAATAGGAGCTTCGGAACAAATAATTTAAAAGACATTTATTCCCATTTATTTTTCAATTGTAGATAATTTGTCCACGTTGCTGTGCGTCCCGTTACAGTTGCTGCTAGTTATCTTTCTCCGAGCGCCAACGTAACTTGATTTGAGAGAACGCAGAAATCACTCCTGTGTTGTAATTCTAGTACCAACCCTTACCAAAATTTAAAAGTTAACAAGATGATATTTCGTGTCCTAAGCATTGAATGTTTTGGACCACGCAGTAGCCCGGATAGAACTTTATTTGTTGAAGATGATTACGTTCAGTTTTGTTTAGCGAGTTTCATGTTTAAAATTCCTGTCGATGTTTGCCGTTTGCCCAGCTTCACACAACTTTACATCACAAGCGCATATCTATACCTAAAAAGTATTTCTCAGTGAACTCTCACCTGTCTGAAAATCCATACATTTCTTTAAGATGTTGTTTTAAATAGAGGAGAAGAAGACAAGCCTGTGAAGAAACACAGCGTTGCTCAAAGATTGTTGGATCTGGGGGGATGCGAGCTAAAACATAAAAGAAAGACATGAAGTCAGTTACAGTGAAATCATATTCAACAGTGCTCCTCAAATGAACGTCGTAAACTGTAAAGCAAAGAAGCCATGACGGGAACAAAGGTATGGTAAATGTGACAGGAAAAAATGTTCTTGTTAAACTACTACTACGGTAATTTGTAAGTAGTTGGCCTGAAGAGCGTGAAAACGTAAGTGACAGAATCGTGAATGGTTAATGTTATGTATCTGACTGTTTGGTAAAGGTTTTTTAGTAAATCACTTTAGTAAATCAGAGAGCATAGCAAGAAAAAAAAAAGCAGTTCCAGATTACGATAGAAAATACATTGAAACCACTTTGCCATCAAGGGCTTTCTCGTGTACAACTACATTGAATTTTTAAAAAGTACAAAGAAAGTCATAATTGTGGTAGATATTTGACTATCTGGACGTCATAGGGGTCAATTTATCGATATTTTTTAATTATCTTTTCCTTTGACAAGATACATTCAATATCCGAAAAAGTCGACCCCATCCTGTCACAATTCAACTTGAAAATGCACACACTAGACACAAACAAATTTGCATATACTTCTTCAACTCTCTTTTTAAAACTGAATCTTCTGATTAATCACTCTCGCGGTTAACAACTATTTTATTCAACAAACGATTCTTATTTCTACACGACTGTTGTTTTGCCCTCCTCTTCTGTAAGATACGTACCTAAGACAGACTCAAAATTTTCTTCCTCTTCTTCGAACTCTATGCCTGGAACAGGGGGTACCTGACCTTCATTTTCAATGGCTGGTTTAACGACCGGGGTCATGGCCTGTTTAGAGAGATAAACTCTTCAGTAACAAATGACCAGGCTATAACAACTACAGTCGAGCCTCTCTTTGAAATCAGCACTCATAAGTAACAAATTTTCCAAATCAAAACAATTTATTTTCACGTGAAGTTATCGCTGTCGAATAGCATCGAAAAGGGGCACCACTCGTGGGTGATAATTTCGTACATATCCATTGACTCCAACTGTGCGACCTCGATGCAGCTTCTTTGCGAAATCGGATGTCACTGCAAAGGTGTTCGTGAGAAAGGCATTAAAGCTTTAGTTTTGACACTTCTGAATGGATGTAGATGACTAATACGATTGCAGACTATGAAGCCTGGGGCTCTAAAATAGTTAGAGCTACCACCAAAACAAATCTTTAGAGGACTGCAATTTTGAGTGGTACCTAACAGAAGATTACATTACGAAAACAAACACCAATGTTCAGTTGTAATTAAGATCGTCAACAACTACCTTCTCATCAAGTTTACAAGGAAATCCGAACGAAAATTTAAGAGCTTACCTCTTTGAAGGACTGGAGCACATTTGCACCTGTTACTGACAGGATGGTGTCAATGTGATGTATAACGAACAAAGGCTCCGCTTGAACAGAGTAAGGAAAATGCGCCATGTTATCCGCAATATACAGCAGTAGGTCCAACTTAGCGCCCTGAGAGGATAGAGAATGTTCCGTGGGTTATCCGTAAAGGAGCCTTTTTGGGAACTTACAACTTTAAAATAAAATTGTTCGCTTGAGTATGCAAACGCAAAAGCGGTAAAATAAACCCGAAAATGAACAAGGATGATTACCCTGGTCGCGCAGCAGTAAAATGAAGATAAGAAATATCTCGACGCGTGTACCCAACCTATCAGGCCCGATATGAAAACAGAAAATAGGCCCTCGTTTGGCAAAGCCACGCTCTGGACCATTTTCATCTTCATCCGACATTTTTTTTTTTTTTTTAACAGTTTCACGACGGCTTTTAGCTATCTCTATTTATTTTCACCGACAAATAATCGTCGAGAGCTTCCATCGATTGTCTTACAACCGCAGCCTTAGAACTTCGCTTAATCATATAACCGCTGCCCTAAAAATCAAGTTTTCAAAGTTCAACAGGGAATTTCAGTGTACTAAATAATAAAAAAAAAGGGGTCTACCTTATGATCATCAAATGTCCTCAGCATGGATTGTAAAAGAGACCGCCTTGGCTGTCTACTTGTTCGTATAATGGAATACAAATGACCAAGTACACAATGATTTGCTTCTTTTTTGAAGCCACGTATCGCAGTGGTCTTATCCTTCAAAACAAAATCGATAAAATAAACATTAAATGAGAATAACAAGTATGAGAAGCAGCATCGTAAGGTAAAATCATTCTTCCAACAAAGATCCATGGCTAATGGTGGTTTCACGACCGCCCGGACACTTTTAAGTGGAAAACGTAAAACTTAATCTCAACGCAACATAGAACTGTTGCCTCGCTCTTTTTTTTCGCATTTTAAGTTTGGACCTCGACTTGGTCTTGGTCCATAAAAATGCAAATAAAGAACTCGGCCAATATCCGGCCATCTTGACCTCACTCTTGGTTAATAACGCATACATATATTAACAACTTAAATGAAAAATAATCACAACCCATGAAGGCATAAAAAGTCGTCCATTTAATTCAGTGACTATTTTCGCAAGCTCTACCATGATACACATATCTGAGGTCAAAAGAATAAATTCAAACCTTGTATATTAGACGTTGAAGCTCAAAGGACATTTTTATTCCAGCTAGGGCTTTCATCTGAAGCAAGAGAATAAAGCATCATAAGGTAGTTTGATAATTAAAGAGGCATACGTTTTCTTCTACCAAAGAGATACAGTAGGCAATGTAAATTCACTGAGAACCAACCTGAACAAACATGGAATATTTGTTCGCAAGTTCCGAAAGCTGTTGGTCCGATTTGACTCTCATTTGTTGTTCTTCATCAGTTCCAATGGCGATCAGATACGGAACACACTGTTGAAAACAAATGCAAACACAAACCAAAATTAGAAAGAATAAAATATCTAACGTAGTTGACAGTGTAAATTCTCAAATGAACGCAACGACAAACGCAACAATGGGTGACTACCAATATGGGAAAATAGAACGCTTCAAAAGTTTGATGTGATTCTGAAGAGTACAATAAACAAATTAGTTTTATCAACAGAACCAATCACGAAGACATTAAAAATGAACCTTTTTAGCCTCAAGTTCATATAGAGAAGGGTTCGAGTTTTTCCGTTCCTCGCTGTCCCACTTGAATACTAGCATACAATTTCCTGCCTTTTGCACCACGAAGAACTGTAAGAACTCTAATACAAAGCTTTTACGAGGAATTTCTTTCTAAAGAAGTTTGGATTACTTTAGAGAAGGGTCTTACTGCACGACTAAAAGGACTCCTACGACCACAGTATTCAAGCAGTGTTATAGTTCTTTCAGTCAACCAACCTGCACAGGATGAACAAGACCTTGCCTCAGAATTAGATTTACAACATGTAGGGCGGCCATACGAACGGAGGGCTGTGGGTGCAAGAAGCTCTCCAGTACACTCTTGAGGTACACTTGCATAACTGCACTGGTTGTACTGGAAAAATAAATTAGTTTCATTTCAATAAATTTATTTTCCAAAGTTCTTTCCCTCTTTTTTCTTCACACTGTGATAGCTGACTTGTTTCCGGGTTGAAAAGGCGGTGCCCAAGTGTGAGCACAGCTGGACTCTAGATCGAGAAGTCCCGCTTTGATTCCTAAATGGATCACTGTGTTGAGTTCTTGGGCAGGACACTTTACACCATACTATGAAGGTTATCACATACTCCAAGTCGCCTGATGCGACAGAAACCGAAATAAGCACTAGCATATAATAGGCCACTTGGCCTCTAACTCGAAGCCTTCTTACCCAGACTGAGTGTCTCCAAGTTCTTTGAGGTTTTGGTTTTCTTTCTCTTTTTCGACTTTCCTATGTCCTACAGATAACAAATGAATATATTTACCCACTGAGGCCTAATCAGTATGCACACTGCATCTATTATGATAATCATAAACAAGACTGAAGGACACCTGATGGACTTCATATCATCATGCATGTATGTATCAGTAAAATTTATTCAGATGGTTGAATTTCTATTACTGTGGTGATCTTGGACATGTAGTCTTTTCTCTTCTTCTAAGAGATGCGTCTGCAAGTTCTTCAATACCTAATCAAATCAAAACACAGACAGAAGGAGAGAAAATAATTAATATATAAATGACCAAAATTGTACAAAAATAAAGCGGCTCTTTATCAATAGTACTAGAGGGTGAATGCCGTTTAGGCCGCAAACTCCCCAAAGGCAAGGAGGTCACTATAGCAACCGACAATAGCTCATCGCTAAGCAGCTGTAAACACAACAGCATCAAAATAGGCCAAAGCTTGTGGCACTTCCCCGTGAATCTCCCTTTAGCCCCCTACATCAAACCATTGAGGCTGCTGCATTGACTTGGTATGCCTCATTAACAGTCTCAACAGCGTTAAGAATTAAATGCATACCTGAAGCTTCAGTTTCAAAGGCTTATTGGCTTGCGAAAGGATTCCCTGATAAAGTTCCTTGGCCTCTCCCTTCAGAAGCAGCTCACCATATCTCATACAAAGAAATCCTATACAAAAACAATACAAAGATTATGTTCAATGTTGTCCCACTTAACGTACGGAGTCAAAATTCCCCCCTTGGATTTATAAAATAGAACAGCACACGTTATTTGTTTAGCGGACTATTAAAAAGGTCACACGTTATACTAGAAAAACCAAACTGGCACGCGTTGATTAATAGGCAAACAGCGCAAATGACGGTCAATGCAAGTCATAAACAATGTATTCGAGCCAAGAATATATGTGGTTCAATAGACCTTCCTAAATAACACTTTTCGAATAATTAGACCACCGGTGCCTGTATGTTGAAAAAATTCCAAAGGCATCAATTTATTTTACAGGCATAATCAATGTACCCAAATTTTGTTCACCTACCTAGCCCTGTAATAGCTTTCTGGCAAACTTCTTCGTCAGAGTGCTTAGTAAAGTAGATATACACAGCAAAAACTTTGTCCTTAGTCGAACCCTGCTTGAAAGAAAGAAAAGTTCAACAAGAATCCCAGTAGTGTCTCCTTGAAACTAAAAACAAATCAGAAGGACATCTGTGCTTTACTTAAACTACCCGAGGACAGTTTGTCTGATTGTAATTAATATCTTACAACGAAGTGTAACCAATTGATGTAAAAGAGCATTTCTGTTTCATTTTTTAAGGCAGTTTTGCTGCATGAGACTTACCTCGTTTTTCTGTTTCACGTCGCTGTCAAAATCAAACTGCTTGCAGAGCAGACCAAGAGTAAACAAAGACCTTAGTAAGGTTGGTCTGTTAACCTGCGCCTTCCCTGGATTCTTAGTCATGTCTGCTTTGGCCTTTGCTAGGTACCCTGTAATCAAAGCAGCATGCAAAAGTGTAAAACTAACATCCATATTCTGTGTCGGTGTACATGTAAGGTGACAAAGAGAAGTTACGCTGCTATCTTTTTGATACAATGGGTTTGTTATGTCACCATTCAGAGCCACGTGACTTTCAACAGTAACCTCAGAGCGATACGACGCTTTCAAAATTGCTGATCCTAGCAGAAATCACCACTTGTCACAAATGAACTTAGTAACGGCCCAGCTCACAATCGAGTTCTCTGAAGATCCGTAAGAGCATTGACGCGAAATCCAAAGGACTGAGATTTGATTCCTCGTGGGAAACTCGTTTGTATTTGTCTCGCGCTCGTGACAAACAGAATATCTTTCTTTATTGGAATAATACTATATGTAATAGAGAAATTTTTTGTTAAGAGTTTGAAATAATGGTCAAGAATGCATTAGATCTGCCTTACTACATAAACACTAGCTACCTTTTTACCATTTGGCAAACAAGGAACCGTTAAGTTATCACTACTCACAGTCCTTTCCTTAAACTACTTGATGTTAAAGGAGCACTCTTATGAAACCGCCCCATAATTTGAAAACCCGAAAAATTCAGTTACTTCATTATAATATGAATTTTTAGCGATTAATAAAGCCTTTTCAAGAATAATTTTAGTCGAAAGTCAATTCTAGGGCGAGAAATTACGATTTGAAAACCGTTCCGCCATTAATTTTCGTAATCACTTGGCAGGTTCAAGAAGACTGGCGCGAGTTTGGAGATTACTCATTTGACGAGCCGTGCTCGTGACTAATTTTCAAAAACAGTATTTTGATCGTCTATATTGCTTTTTATAACACTAAGACTAAGACTATTTCATTAAATTTCACGAAGTTCCTGTGTATATATAAAAGTGTTTTGAGTAATTACGTCACAATGGGAGGGACCGTGACGTAGATTACTCATTTGACGCGTCGTGCTCGTGGCTAATTTTCAAAAAAAGTATTTTGATCGTATATATTGCTTTTTATAACACTAACACTAAGACTACTTCACTAAATTTCACGAGGTTTCCGTATAAAATATAAAAGTATTATGAGTAATCTACGTCACAATGGGAGTGACCGCTGACCGAAGATAAGTTGGCCGTGATTACGAAAAATAATGGCGGAACGGTTTTCAAATCGTAATTTCTCGTCCTAGAATTGACTTTCAACTAAAACTATTATTGAAAAGGCTTTATTAATCGCTAAAAATTCATATTCTAATGAAATAACTGAATTTTTCGGGTTTTCAAATTATAGGACGGTTTCATAAGAGTGCTCCTTTAATACAGGCATCCTCTCAGGGAATTGCGACTTACCGTGATACTTGAGGAAGTAGTCCTTGACAAGTCTAATGTTATGAGTGACTTTATTTACTACAGCTCCCAAACAGCTAATGCAACTCTGGACAACCTGAAAATGAGAGCAAAATAAACACTAACTCGGCGTTGGCTCGTGATTTACAAACTTTTCTCGTGTTCCCCCAACATCCCACGTGGGTTATTACGCCGGTAAACCCGGCCGATAGAAATTGCTTGCCATTGCTTAAATAGTTTTTTCTCGAGATCTAAAGAGAGTACTAGTTATTTATATTAATGATTGATTCTAACATCGTCCATACCGTCTGCCCATGTTTGACAGTAAGTCTCATCAGGTCTTCCTCTAAACTTGCCAAGAATGTTTCACTGGGATGTTCCATTAAAGGAACTACAAGCTCCAAGATGCGTGCAACGTTGTGGATAACAAGGTAGTCTCCTTGGGTCTACAAAACAAAGGAACATAGCAGTTAAAGAGGGAAACTTTACTTTGAAACTTGAAGTTGAACTCGCTTTCAACATAGGAGTAACAGATGTACGCTACGACCCAAACAAGAACCGAAAAATTAATGCAGTCGGTACTTACACTACACTTTGTACTAAGGTAAGGATGCAGAGTCATGGCATGTTTTACTAACAACTGTGGCTTAATCTTGCTTATCAGGTACAATGTAGACAGGCTGGACACCAATCTCTGGCTACTGGAGCCTTTTCCTTCAGACTGAGCTGAAAGGAGACAGAGTTCCTGAGTATATATTGGATAAAAAAAAAAAAAAAACACTTTGCCTCCTACGTCTCTCTGTTTTAATAACAAAACTGCACTTTCATCACTCTCACTAACAATCATAATTTGACTCCAGCGATTGGCAAGGACTAGTAGCATGAAAATGACTTGATGTAGCGAGATGCTCATTTATCTAAAAACATAGTAAACAAAAACCACTTCTTTCCTTACATCTCTGATGCATCTTTTATCGTCTCTACTAACAACTGCTTTTTATAAACAATAGACTGTAGAGCTTGACAGAGACATAAAGGAATGGATAAAAATGGTTGTCTTTTTTTTAATGAAAAGGAGTTGCAGTAGTTTTGATGAAAAAATCCTTAAGGGTACATCTTTTTTCATTACGTTTTCCTCTTCAACGTTTCCTTGATTTACCATTGTTAACAGAAGTAAATATTTCAAAACTTACCAACAGCTCTTTCCTCCAAACTCAGCACATTTTCAACCAAGCAATTAACAATTTGTTGACTGGCTTCCTCTGAAGCTTTTGCAATAGAGTCTTCCTCATTGTGCAGCAGCTGTTTAAAAGCAAAAGCACTGATGAACAACTCACAATTGCATCTCTGTGTGGGATAACTCACATATCTAAAACTTCTTTTCAAATCCAGTGGAGAAACACGACTATAACATCTTGCTCTCGGTACAAAAAATACTTCACCATATTGTTTAGTGTTGCCGTAAGGTCTCAATTATCTTTAACTAAATTTGACAGTAACAGTTAACTCACATTTTCCAAGAGCTGCTCATACCAGTCTCCACTCTCACCACACGCTGCAACCTGTGAAAGAAAAGTACAGGATAGTTTGTCGCACGAAAAGTTACAAGAAAACAAACCAACACGTTTTAATCACACGGATATAAAGACTTACCACATCAGTCATATGAACTACACGTTTCACAAGAATATCTGAGTTTTCTTCACCCTTAAGGGGTGTAAACCACATCTGTTGAAAGACTTTGGTAACCAGTTCCTAAAAGAACAGATGAAGCAGGTCTAATATGAGTAAAAATTTATAGCAAATCGTCATTTATGCGATTATCCAGTCAGATCCAAGGACTAAAGATTTCAACCCAATGAGATGCGTCAGGTAAAAAATGATTTTTACTGCAATTACACATTTTTCATTACCTTTATTCCTTCTTCGTCACATATTCTTCGAATGATCTTTACGCAAATTTCAGTAACCTTTGGAAAATCTGGATGGTTGATGCAAATATCCCTGAGGATTTTAATCACTCTTTTCCTTACACTTATCCCAGTGTCCTGCCAAGCAAAGTAAAGACACATGAAAATTAGTTTAGGTAGATAAGATCGTTAAGAATTTACACATTCGTCCAAATAGTGGATTCCTGTTACCATAACCGCCTCTGCAATGACAATTTCTATGGAAAAGTTTGTAGCGAATTAAATCGCGCCTTTTGCCACAAAATTGAAACGGTTTGGTTTTTCATTCATGTTTATATAATAAATAGAATATTACATGGCTGCTTGAAGATAAGATATTCCTCTTTGAGTGTTGTTCAGCACTCAAAGAGAAATTTCGCATCTCCACGTGGCCATGTTATACCCTCTATGTACGTTCTCTTATGCGATATTTTTCTTAATTCTCACACCTGTCTACTCGACAACGTATTAATCCTGTCAAGAATGAAAAGAGCTAAAAACCATTAACAAGCTACTCACGAGTATCCTCTCAATTATCATGTCGTAATACTGATGAATTAGCTCTGGTTTGTTGAGAACAAATCGTCCTATAAGCTCAACTGCAGCTTCTCTCACACTGGTTGACATGTCAACAAATTTGGCATGGACCCCTTTCTGCATATCATCCTTTAATTGAGAAAGCACATAACATCATACATGTATGTAGAACACTGGTCAGAAAGTTTCACTGTAAATATATTACCCTTTGCAAAATTAGTTTTTCAAGCATGTCACACCTTACAAAATTTCATGCAGGGCTCGACACTAACGGTAGCCCATTAGCCACAGACAAGTAGAAATTCAGTTTTGGCAAGTAGTTTTCGATTTCCATTAGCAAGTTTGGCTAGTAAACAAACTGAAATTGTCGTAACATCTAAGATGTCAATAGCCACTTGGTTAGTAAGTTGAAAAGTTAGTGTGGAGTCCTGTCACGGGCACAGAATACAGAGAAATTTCATTGGTGCATATAATTTTCTTAATATAATACCAGGATAGATTAAAAAAAAAATGCTGTGGTGCAATTTTTTCTTGGTTCAGCCTTTTTTAAAAACCACTTTGGTGATAATTTTTCTTTTGTTATTACTAGTTACTACGGAATCTTGATCTGGAACACAAGAAAATGAAACTTAAACTGGTACAAAAAATCTTCAACACCAGACACTTTCAAGAAGTTAAGAAAGTAGAAGGCTGAGAAAAAAAAAAATCGACAGAGATAAATAGTGGCAATTGAACTGAGTGGAGTGCAATTAATTTTGGGCTGAAATCAAATGCGTGATTGCAAAATCGAACGAGCACACAGCGCGAGTTCGATTTGAAATCACAAGTATGATTTCAGACCAAAATTGCACCACATGAGGTTCAATTACCACTTTATTACATCCATTTTGAAATCGCCCAAATATAGGACTTGGTCAATTCAAATATTTTACTGATGCAGTACTGAGCCGGTTTTAAATAAAAAGCGGAACTGGTAACGCTTTTGCATCTTATTTTGTATGCAAAACAGAAAGACTTTGACGTCATGTGTCAAAAACTCAGTCAAGCGTAAAATGATGCGATTTAGAGCAAAAAAATGGTGCAATTTGTGAATAAATCGCACCAATTAGAGCCAATCAGATTACAGGGACAACCAGTGAGTTTAAAATGGATGTAATAAAGAGGGAATCCTAAAAAAGTAACAGCACCATCATCATCATCATCATCACGGTTATTATTACTATTCTTAGGACTATCATCGTTATCAAATTATTACTTTTACAGCAAGTATTTTAAGTATTTAGCAATACCGTACACACTTACCCTTGACAGAATGGAGGGATCAGCAGAGATGACAGCAGAGAGAGATTTCATTGCTTTTGTTCTTATGGCAACAGCACTCTCTGTGAGTACTCTCAGGATCTAAGAACAACATGAGCTAAAAATTATCTCGTGGATACTCCTTTAGTTTGTAACTTTGAAATTTTCACACAATGAGGAAGCAATAATTGACAACTGTATTCAAAATGTACTATTAAGGGTTTGGAGGAGAGTGAATATTGACTTGCATACAGTCATCATACCTGGCTCAGATAAGCATCAAAGCTCTTTGAAAATGATCTTGATGATGCCAGATATCTAGTTACCAGCACTGCTTGCTCATAATCCAAACTATTATGAGAAGATCTACAAGATAGGACATCTTAATCTGTTATCAAAAACTTCATACAGCTTAAAAAATCTTAAGTAAAACTAAGGGGAAAAAATTACCCTATTTAAGTACATTTTCACAAAGCAAGGACATTGGTAGAGTTAGATGGTAGAGTTAGAGCTGTGATAATATTTCTTGTGATTATCTTTCGAGAAAAAACACACATGTACATCCACAACTTTTATTACCAACAGATAAACTGTAAAAAAGGAGGGGACATAAATAAACTTACTTGATGGTTGACACATTTCTTCCATCCAAAATAGAAAGCAGGAAACCCTTTCTGTCCTCTAATTTGGTGATACTCTGTGCATCTATGAAGGAATCATTGGTCAGTCCTTCTCCACTGTCAAGGGGATCTTCCACTGGAGTTCTTAAGCAACGCTCCATTTCAACATGGTTGTCCCTAATCCACTGGGCCAGGAAGAACTGTCTTGCAAACTGAGAAAAGAAAAATTTTGTGTGAGTTCATATGTGCTAATGTGTTTCTTGTTGAAAATATTCATTACTTCCATCAATGCCAGACAGTACAACATTATTTTAATATTCTTGTAATGACATACATGTACCTATATGCACTACAAGAACTAAAACAGAACCTACCAGTATCTTTGCAAGTTTTAAAGAGACACATTTTTATTAAGTACTTCTGAAAGAATCCCTCACCAAGTATTTCACTCATAACAGCGTCTTTCAACTCTCTCTCATTAAATGAATGAGATCTAAGTGCATGTAAAGCTGTATTTTCTTTTCTAATGTTTGAAATAACTCTGCCAATTAAAATCAAGGATAAGAAATTTCTTCATTCTGTGATAAAACTCCCAGATTGCAACTACACAAGGCTACACATTTACCATAAAAGCTGCATCTGTGTTACCCTCTGAATTCAACCAGTTCGCCAGTGTTTTCTGAAGGATTTGGTTTCTCTTGCCAGAGCGTTCATCCTGGAATGCAAGTACAAATAATGCAAATTCATATTCTTATCTATAGAACAAAAAAATCAATCTGGGAAAGGAAAAAATTACATGGAAATCCTTTCTCTATACATACTGTAGTTTGGGGCACAACAATTTCTTTTAAATGATGTCTATAATGTGACAACCATTGTCAAACAGTCTATTAAAACCGGAAAAGGAAAAAGTGGCTGCGACAGGTCTCTGCTATAAACTTTTAGTTGGTACTGCTTCCAAAACAAGTCACTGCAATCTTCCAAAAAAATTAAATTTTGTGCAATATAAAGCAGCAACTAAATTGTCTCAGGGACATAAATTTTCACAAAAATTCCTTCAGTCACAACCAAAACATTTTCATGGTAACTTGTCCCCCCAACTACCCTAGTGTGTCCAGGATTGGCGTGCAATCTTATTTCAGGTCTGAAAGCTTTAAAGGAAAGATTCAGAATAATCCTGTTTGTCTACAATTCAATTATTCTCCACACGCTCTAAAGGAAGAGAGAAAATTATTCAAAAATGGCTTTCGAACAAAGGAATAAAGAAACCTGAATTTAAATTTAACCCTGGGTTAGCACTAATCTCTGTTTGAACAACTGGGCTCAGGCTTCTAAAATTTACAAATAAACCACAGGACTTACCAGATGAGAAACTTCATCACCAGAGTCCTCAGAGACTTCCCCTAGTTGCTAATACAAAACAATGAAGAAATAAAATATTAAGGAATGTCTATTCTAGCCAGTTGAGCTCATATTATGAGCAAACTAATATTTTGCTTCTCATAATTATTTCAGTGTTATAAATCCTTAGCAAAAGTCATTCTTATCATAGTGTTCTGGTTACCTCCACTAAAATTTCAGTAATGCTTTCTGTGTCTTGCTGACTGTTCACTGCATCTTTTCTCAAATGAGCTGCCACAACACCAAGGTAGTCAATGGCTGAAACCCTCAGACTAACATCATTTGCCTTATTGTTAAAGGTCACAATCTAACAGAATATTAAAAAGATACATTTCTAAATAAATTTCTGACATAACATCAAATTTTGTATATTTGTCAGTATGAGAGAGGTGGGGAAGTAATGGTTTAGAGGGCATGAATGAAATCCCTGTGCTGTGTTCTACAAAGCTCAGACATATTTAATAATCTCACAAAGCTTAGAAATCTGACCAGAAACAGAAATTCAAGGATTTCATCAGACAATACTGCTGCGACCTATCAAAATGTAGTAACATCCTGGAGTAACAGCAGCATACCACAAAAACTTTCTCATCATCGAAACAAGGATAAACTTTAACCGCCTCCCGGTTAGCTCAATGGATAGAGCGCTGGACTGTTGTGCGGGAGGTCGAGGGTTCGAGCCCCAGCCAGACCAACACTCGGGGTCTTAAAATAATTGAGAAGAATTTGCTGCCTTTCTATAACATCAAGAAATGGTCAGGTATTCCAGTCTTCTCGGATAGGGACGAATAAATGGAGGTCCCGTCTCCTGCAGGGTTGGGGTAGGAGACGTTAATTTCCCACACATGAGATTACTGTGTGATGGATGTCCTCCCTTGGGTGAGATGGGCGGGTTTGCAGAGGGCCATGTGTTAGAAAACTCTTTACTGCGTTAATCATGTATTTACCCTCTTGAAATAGAGAACATTGTATTGTATGTGAACCAGAAGGTTAGTAGGATTGTCCTTCAATCTGACAGTGCTCTACTCTACATGTCATTAGGAAACATTCATGTACACTAGATTCATACATTCAATTGTTTTGGGGCTTCACCCTTGTCAACTACTGTATCAGTCCACATAAATCTGAAGGTTGCCTTCATAATTTATAATTATATGTGTACTGTAAGTATACAAAATTTTAGTTACCAACAATCTGCCAAGAAGAGTGAGCAAAACCTCAGCAGCTGGCCAGTCTGGTCTGTTAAGTGTAACCAACAGATCTTGAAGAAAGTTCTCAAACAGAGGCCTGTAATCTTCTTCATCTTTCCCAACACTTATGCACCTACAATTTTAAATGCCTACTGTAAGTTACTTGAGTTAACTATTATTCACAGCAAACCACACATCACCAAAATGTCACAGTGAGAATGAAGAAGTGCAGGTATACTGGTCTGTTGAGTGTAACCAGCAGATCTTGAAGAAACATATAAAAATTCAAGTAAAACTACTTGTACAGTATATATAATGAGGCTGAATGAAATTTAGGCAAGGTTAAAATCGAGGCACGCTGGTCAGTGGAGGTCCTGCTGCAGCGGCACCACTTTGTAACTGCAGGACCACGTGGTGCTCACTATGTTTTGAGATCGTCGTGGATCTCAACATGAGCTGCTTGTTGTGTTCCCACCCTCCCTCCTCTACTGTATGGTGAGTCACTTGATGGTAAGTATAAACAATTCCACTGTCTTGTCAGTGTGACTGGTGCCAGGGGGTTGGACCAAGGTTTTGTCACCATGGTAACCTCCCTGCTGTAGGCAGTCAGTGCGATTGCCACAGTGCTATGGTACGTTCCTCCAAGCTCATCAGTGCTAATGAGTTTAATAAATAAAACAACTTACTTGTTCAAAAACATCGACAAGAAATTCTGTGCAGTTCTCAGGGCATTCTCATATGACGTGATGATAAGAATGTTACGGTCAATCTGAAATAAAATGTCTATAGTAAATCCCTTTGGACAAAAGTGCTTAATACTTCTAAATGAAGAGAGGAAAGAGGGAATTATCTCAACAATGGGGTACAATTTTCAGAGTACACCTACACATGCAAAATGTTGATATATCATTCACATAATTATACACGCAAGTCAACAGTTCCTCAAAACTGGATCTGTCATTATCAATCCTTGATTCTCAAACTTCAAAGGTCAAAGTTTGCATTAAGTTGGAAGAAATCTGAAAAATGGTGGAGGACTTTCAAAAATTTTCCAGGTGAAACACTGAAAGGATTTCTTATGATTTTTTTTTAAGACATCAAGGACTACTACTGGAAGGCTCATGCAATATTTGCACAGCTTACACGAGGTTTGTTCTCATCATCTTCAGCTACATCATGCATGTCATCCGTTTTTTCTGGAATTTTAACTGAGCATTGAATAAGCTGAAGCACCAGTGCTGTAACCATCTGAATAGAGAGATCTCCAGTAAGTCTGAGGAAAGGAAACAAAACAGTAAATGGTCTCATATTAGGAAGAGAAAACTGCCTTGCCTTGCCATGTTGAAAGGTTACAATCCATAACAGAAGAATCAATTACTCAAAATAATAATTATGTAGAGCTGTGCTTTTGGAAGAAATGGTGTATGCCTGAAGGCTTTAGTCTCAAAAGTCTGAGGAGCCCTGTCCTCACAAACAAGCCCTGGGGCAGTCCTTTTTTCTGCTGTACAGCTCTAATGCAAAACGAGATGTCTTTTAGAATTATCATTACTTTTAAAAATGCAAAAACCTGTAACTCCTGAGTGTCCTCTTGCTGCTAGGGAGCTTGGCTAACGATGCAAAAATGTCTTCCAGGATCAAGTCCCTATGTTTGACATATTTTCTGAATATCTACAAAATAACAGCAAACAAAAATTTTATCAATTAAAGGGTACAAGAGACACTCAGCTGATGAACTTTTCCCTAAGATAGCTGACTTTCTGCTGTAAACAGTAGCAACCTATACGTGTATCTGCTGGCCATGGTTACCATTAAAAAAAGAAAATCACCGTATATATATTAAACAACAACAAACATATGAAACATATGAAACATATGTGTGAACTGCGGTTATCAGACGTATATGAGAACGATCCTTTGCAGTAATCCCGTACAGGCCTGAAATTTTTTTCAGGTCTGATTTTCACTATTGCTCAAATAGTGCTTTACTGTGAAGGATCGTTCTCATATACGTAAGTATATATATTAGTAGACATAAAAGTCTTGATAGGGACATACCGATCTAACCAGCTTTAGAGCACTGTGCTGAAGGTCACTAATGTTTTCTACAAAGAAAGGTGATGTCCCCAGATTTGAAACCTGAATGATGTAAAGAGGAATATTGATTAAATTAATTTTCTATACAAAATTAAGGAGGAAACATGGATAGCAATCCCTCTAATCTACAACTGTATTGTTGATTAAAATAAAACTGAACCTGTAAAATGTCTGTATCAGTAAGTGCTTGGATATCCACAAGATCTCCCAAAAGTGAGACAAGTTCACAGACTTTGTTGTAAAATAATGACATTGACTTGAGCTTTGCATTAGATGACTTGGCTCTCTTGGCTTTGGGAATCAGAAGAACACTTTCTGCAAAGATAAATAGCTCCAAAGTCAGACCATGAGCTATTGTACAAAAGAGAATACCTCAAAATATTTGTGCTCAAGAAATAGTTACATCTCAAGCTGTTTACAACACAGTAATAAGGACATTTAACATTAAACATTTTAAATAACAGTTATAAAATGCCTATTTTTTCAAGATCAGAGGTGGGACCAACCTTCTAATGTATCTTAATTAGTAATCATTATGACCCCCATTTAACAAATTGATTGCTGGTTGCTTTCAGCAAACTTGGCATCAACTGATCGACATTTGTCTCTTACCATTAGGATCTGATTCTCTGTAGATAGGATCATACTCAGGGAAAATGTTGCTTCTCAGTTGATATTTAGCGAATGAAATAACCCTGGCAATGACTTCTTCAAGGTATAATTGTTTGGGCACAGAAGGAGATGTCAGGATTACAAGAACAACCAAAGAAGACTCTACTGCTCGAACCATTCTGTCAAGGCATAGGTCACGCCACAGTCTTTGTTCTTCATCATCATCCTCAAAAATAAAAATTAAAATTAAAAAATGAAATTTAATTCAAAAATGACAACAACTCTAAAATAGGGAATGGACATTGTTATTTGTTTGTCCAGGTTAAGCTACAACAAGACTGAGAGCCTGACAATGGTATACAAGAAAGATTTCCTTAATAATATACCTATAAATAGATAAGTGAAAAAGATACGCATATGCTTTTTGCGATGTAAGTTCACACTTACTGTCGTGCTAAGTTTATTTCTGTACCCATTCCCAAAACTAAGGAAAATTTGATTTTGAACAAAAATTCATGATCAGATACGGCAGACTTAGAGCATACAAGTGCTTGTCCATAACCCAGGGGGGAAAGGGTGCAATTAAATGTAATATCCAGGTAATTGAATTAAAACTGAAAGAAGCTTTTTATATAAATAAGACCAAACCTGAACTTAACAAACAATTACGGCATTATAACACTTTTCTAGCATTTTCGTTCACACCTTTGATGTTTGGTATCACATTGTAATTAGTATCCCCCTTTGTATTACATCATACTGTAAATATTTTATTCATCTACTTGTATGCTATATATTACTCACGTTCAGTTACTAATTGATTGATGATGGCATAAGCATGCCGAAACATTTCTCTCAAAAAAGTTGTCTATTTCTTACAATAATAAAAAAGTATTCTACCTGATCTGCATTGCACTGCAACTGTAAATGTAAGCCATCCCTGATATGCCGTTCCATTATTTGTAGAAGCCTCATCAAATCATCAGAGGGTACCTGATTAGAATACAAAAAAGAACAAGGTATAGTTACCATAAATATTAAGGAAGTTGAATTACCAGCCACAAACAACAAGATTAATATCACTTTTATTATTCATGTATATACAGTAACACACTTTGAAATAAAAAAAAGGCTGTTCATTTCTGTCAATATAATGCAAAATGATTAAAAATCACTCGTGACACATGATTTTGTCTCTTACACTGCTCATGGATGGGTAGTAATTTCTTAACACTTCTGAACTAGCCAATCAGCATGCACAAAAAACTCTATTTACCTCGTGAGTTATATAAGCTATCGTAGGAACAGCTTTAAAAAAGCTGGCAACCTTAATCAGAGTGCATGCTAACATAACGAAATTCATTCACTGTTGTAATACAGAAGGCAATCACTTGTAATGTTTAGAACTAACAGGTACATGAGTACCTCACCTTGTGCAAAACTCCTAAGGATTTCAGTTTTGCTATTTCAGCATAAAATTCCTGAACTACCGATCTTGAAAGAAGAGTTTCTGGTTTTGGTTCCTGGTCATCTTCAGAATGAGAGAAAGTAAATCCATCAATGGTATTTTAATCTACCATAGTGCAAATTTTCAAAATTAGTCTTGTTTAATCACAAAAAACAATGACCCTCCTCTTTAAAAACATTTTCAACAACTCCTCAACTTGTCACAGCAGTGTACCAAGTTTCATCATAAATCTATAATACTCTACATGTATGTTCTATTTCTTCAGAATTACCTTCATTAACTTACCCAAATCATGAAAGCTTGGTGCATTACACTCATCATCAAATTCAAAAAGGTTTTCAAGTAAATCTCCCAGTTTCCTGAAGGTTGGTGTCTCCATGATATCTAAATTACAGAGACCAATATCAAGTGTCTTTCTATCATCAAACATACAGCCATACATTCTACATAAATGGACAAGTGAGCCATTACCCCTCTAGCTTTAAACTCTAGCATTTACTTAGTTTAACTATTTTTTCAGTACTGATCATGGTAATGTATGTGAGAAGCAGAGTTAGACATAGTTACATGCACACAGGCACACACTACATTTAATAAACTGAGGTTTATGTTCAGAGTTAGTTTATCTTACCTTCAGATTCATGTACTTCTTTCACTTTCTGTTTCTTGCTTTTACTCTTCTTCTTGGGTGGGGCTATCAAGAGGGTGGAACTTGGTCAATGCAAGAACTCCTAAGGCATGCTGATATACCCTCTTTATATAATAGACGGCTTCAGGATATCACAGTACTTATGTACAAAGTCAAACATGGTCTCGTACCCGACTGCGTTTCTGAATTATTTGTTTGCAAAGGCTCTACATATTCGCTACAGAATAGTGTTTTGCTATGGCAAGCACTCTGTCAGATATCTCGAGCCGTTTTTGTGGTCAAAACTTACTAAAAATCAAAGGGATTCGCCAAGTTTATGAGTTTTCATAAACAAAACTAGAAAACTAAACCTAGACAAGATTGTAATTAATAACAGCAATTGCTGTAATCTTTGTAGTCAATAGGAATATTATTTTTTAAATTTTAATCATTTTCGTGTAAATATTTGATTTTTATAAGTGTATTTTCATTATAGTGTCCTCAATTAGTCTTCTTAGGCTAAACACATTCATTTGACACTTAAATAAAGGTCTTACTTACTTATAATCAAATGATGCATTAGAGTGTTAGCAGATTCAGGCAAGATTCACTGCACTTTTCAGACCTATTCATAAAATTTCTTGCACTGTAGTAGCATTACAGCATTTGGTGAATAAAAATAATCTTAGCCAACCATTTTGACGAAGACGCCACTTTGCTTTGAACCTCATGCAATGTTAACCAAGTCTTTGTACAAGATGCATGTTAGTAATGAAAATGCTCTCATGCAACACCACTCTCCCTTCATTCCCTCTCACCTCTACCTAGTAAAACCCTTGGTGTTTTTGTTCATATCTGTATAAACTGTACAGTACGTGTAGCTATCAAAGCTTGGTGACAGTTCAAAGGAAAGTAAAACCTCGTATTTCAGCTCTCATCAATAAATATTCATAAAGCACACAATCTGAATACCTTCATCCCATTCATGGCTGCTGTTGATTCTACTGGTTTCATCACTAGACCTCTGTCTCTTTTTGCTCCTGTGTACATGTATCTCACTTTCGCTATCAGGTGGCACCTCTCTTACTTGATGTGTTTCCACCTCTTTAGAGCCTCTCCGCTGCTTAACTTTTGTTATTACCAGCTTTGGAACATACAACTGAAGTCCCTTGAGAGAAGGGGATACCTTTAAATTTGGTGATGCAAGATGATCGTGATCTGGCAACAAAGGTGTTTCAGTTCTGTTTAGCAGGATATTAGAATGTGTTTGCTCCTCTTTATCTAAGTATATTGCTGACATGGGAGCTAAGGCCTGCATTTCATCAGCAGTGTCAACATTACATCTGTAGGGGTCTTCCAGAGACTTCCTACTTGATCTTGAAGGTCTGCGCTGTGAGTGTTTGTCACTGTGTTGTTCCTTGAGCATGTTATCTAATTCTACAATCTGAGAATTGTACACCTGCATTGAACTGAGTTCACCAGGGTTATTCTCAACGTCTAGCTCAGATTTGCTTCTGGATGATTTACGTCTTTTTCTAGATTTTGACTCTCGTTCACGCGTTCTATTCAACATGCCTTCCTGATTATGTGACTGTTCAGAAGTTCTAGCCAGTAGATGAGCATTCCTTTGCTTTTCGTTAATTGCAGCAAGCTGCTGTGATGCTTGTCCAAGAACTGAAGGATCAAAATTAAAGCCATTCTGTGATGCAAGTGCCTCCAGAGCACTGAGGCTATCGTAGACACCTTGACTATGAACACTTCCTGTCCCATCTTGAGTACGAGAGCAGTAAAATTCAGTTTCATTTATATTTCTTTGTACAGTTGTAGACAAGTCAATGTTTCTTTGTCCCTCACAATGATGAGGGGCTGTTAATACACCTGTGAATACAAAATTAATGTCAGACAGTAAGTACTTATTGTAAATAAAAGCAACATACAACATAAGATTATAATATTCTTCAAGGTACACCAAAAAGGATTTCTAAACAATCATGACCATATACTAAGAAACTTTCCTTACTGAATTTGCAATCTCCTTGTTCCCTTCCTGTCACTCTATTTTTTAACCTCTTATTGTCTCTATCACTTACAATTCATTGTTATTGTTGACATTATTACGGCAACTACATAGTATTTATTTCAACCAAGCAAACAAACTACATCTATACTGAAACAAAACAAATTTACACCTACAAACCATCAAAAACCAACGGGTAAATAAACCTGTATCTTAGATTTGATTATTTTCGTATTGATTGCTTGAGCTAAATTTTTGTTCCTTTGATCTTGATTCTATTGCCTTTTTTTGGGTCACTTTGAGTTTCTTCTGACCCACTAAACTTTAATGCACATTTAGTGACAAGTCTGAGGAACCAACCTTGATCATTAATAGGTACATTCTGATTTGAACTTTGCTGTCGGTCACTCTTGGAGAGAGCCTGTCTACCATGCCTTGTCTTAACTGATGAAAATGCCTGAGTTGGAGTCAGCACAATTTGAGGTTGCATCAAAGGTGCATTGGGCGAGCCTCCATTTGCATGTGCAGCACTCTCAGCTAGTTAAAATAAAACAATTATTATAATTGTTATTATTATTATTATTATTTACTGCATAGGGATGCTCATAGCTCAATTATAGAGAGAATTAAACAAATGAGAGAAGGAGAAATCTATCATGCTCCACATGGATGATTGGTACAGAAGTCAGACAATGACAAATGGTGAAAAGAAAATATCAATAAAAATTTGATACATTATATAACTACTGTAAACTTCCCATGAAAGCACCCAGACCCCTAGTTGTGTTTAGTAAGTACTTTTTATTATCTTAAGTACATCAGTCATTTTTCCCACTAAGCAAATGAACACTTCTCCTAACTTGGTCTATTGAGCTAAACCCCAGATAAGCCACATTTTACTCCAATCCCATTTCAGAAACAGTGTGGCTGATCAGTTGACTCAATTCAACTATTTACAGTCTACATTTTCAAATAAAATAATTTTACTCAAATAGTTGAGATATATGTATGTGAATGTACTTGTACTTGTACATACATCTTGGCTGTCTAACAGTGTTGGGAGCACCTTGTGCAGTTCCACTGTATTGAGGATATGATACAGGATGGCTTTGAGCTTTCAAAGTGTGAGGACTGGATGCCATTAACTGCAGACTAGCTGCATGTTCTGGTGAGTTCATGTAAGGTGAGTTTGCCTGCAACCCTCCTGGAGAACCTGCATACAATGGTGAGCTCACTTTAGAGGGACTACCTCGCTGCCGAGGAGACACGGGGTTGTATCCCACTGGAGAATAACCTGCAACAATAACCACGTTACTTTATAACAAGCAGGTGTCCCAACCAGGACTGTTTTAGTTGCCATGAATTCATCTTGAAGTCAGAGTTGCTAAATTTGCTAGTAACACTGTATGTGTTCAGCAGTCATATTGTTTTATGTTAGTGTTTTAAGTTCTAGTGTTTTGTTAACCTTTTGATGAAGACAATCATGCATTAATACAGTACATTCTTCACATCAATAAGCTCTACTGCATTTATGCCTGCAACCCTTTGACACACAAGAGCGACTAGCATCTAATTTCTCCTTGAATCAAACATCCAGGTCACAAGAATAAAGGAAATGATCACCAACTAATAAAGTTCTTGATTGTTAAAAAAAATTCTTCCTTGTCAGCATCTTAGGAAATGTATAGAGATGCAAACTGATGTAAAGGTGTAACAAGTTCAATGACTTTAACCTTGGTTTTCCCATTTTTTTTTTTTTTTTTTTACATCCCAGCAGTTTACCTTGTGGATCTTGGTAGCTTTCAGAGACAGTTTTAACTGGCTGAGAATTAAACACATTAGGTGTTTGTGAAATAATTGCTTGAAGAAGAAGTGGGCTTCCTTGGTATGAAATGCTATTATCTTGATTTGTTCCATCTTTCAAGATCCTAAATAACAACAAAAATTAAGATTGAATGTAAGGTGTTCTGTACACAGTTGAACCTGTCTTTAGTGGCACCATATACAGTGGTCACCCCATAAGTGGTCAGTCAACAAAGTCTCTAGTTGCTTTCCCCTTAATCATTGTAATTTTCATCTTCATTAAGCTGTTACCTCTATTAAGTTTTAGAATTTAGAATTTAATTCATTCACCACGGGAATGGCAGGAGAAAGGAACAGAACTTTCGTCCCAATTGACACCTAACCCCTTTTGTATCCACCCATCCCACCTCAGGGGAGGACATCTATCACACAGTAATCTCGTGGGTGGGAAATTAACGTCTCCTTTCCCAACCCTGCAGGAGACAGGACCTCCATTTATCCATCCCTATCTGAGAAGACTAGAATATCTAACCATTTCTTGATGTTATAGAAAGGTAGCAAATTCTTCTCATTTATATTAAGACCTTGAGTGTTGGTCCGGCCGGGGCTTGAACCCTCGACCTCCCGCACAACAGTCCAGCACACTATCCACAGATACCTTTTTACTAAGTCCCACCCATCTGTTTATATTATTTTCCACCTGTATTGAACAGTCACCTGAAGCCAAACCACTAAAATAAAATGAAGAGTAATCTTTCAAGTAATTTTTAGTCCATGTTTCTCTCCCAAAATCAAATCAAAGTAAGAAGTATAATTGAGGGAGATTCTGTACATTTAGTGGTCAATTATGGCATAGAGAGACATTGTGTATCATTTTTTTTTTTTATAATACCCCTAATCTGTGTAACTTGTAACTTTAAGTAGTTGATCTATTTTTCCTTAGTCCTTCCCCTTTTTTGCTCTGATATGGCTACATGCTCAGCCAAAGATCCTGGATTTTTTGCCACTATAATTCATGTAGTAACTATTACATGTACATACAAAGAGACAATAACTGGAGCTAAAAATTAGAGCATTACTTTGAGCATTACAAAGATAAATTATTAAAACAACCACTAAAATGTTAACAAAAAAGGGATAAAAAAATAACAAATATTTTAGGGGGAATAAAAGAACATTTAGCAGCCATTTAATGATAAAGTATGTATTTCAACTTCAGATCTGCCTCTCTGCAATGTTTTGAATTTTCATCAACAAACCATCATGGTACCAATTTGAGTAAAAAAAAAAATCAAAACATTTCGGTTTCTTACCTTTTTAATAATTATTATTTATTATAAGAGAAATAAGAAACACAAGGGATTAACAAAAGGGTTGTCAAGGTACTATTTACAACCATTCTTAAAATAGTTTGATATTACGTGACTCGGTCTGAAAGTTAATTTTCGTGACTTTCATTGTTTTCCACCATAATGAAATGGAAAAAAAAACCGATAACACGTAATCAATGGCAATCAAATGAAAGAAACCGTTCTGAGGAAGCCATTCTAATAAATATAAGACTTAACTAGCAACTTCAATGAATTTTAATTACTTACAACTGGTCTGAAGTTGACTTTGAAATGCACAGTGCCTGAGAAAGTTGTTGGACGAGCGAACGGTCGGGTCGATTGAGGACTTCTCTGGCTTCTTCAGCAACCTTTGGACTACGAAGTAAAGTATTTGACCTTCTGGAAGATGACGGCCCAGGAAAAGGTAACTCTGGAAGTACTACAACGAAAGAAACATTTGTTATGAATGAATTACTGAATGCAAAGGTTGCCCAAAACATATCACCAACGGAAGTTGAAAAGAAATTAAGCGAAAATTTCAGATTTCCAATTCAATCGTCCATCTGCTTTCAGCATTTCCTTGATTCAGATAAAACCCATTAGATCACTATGTTATACACTGAAAAAGAAAGCTTTAAAATAGATATTTTCTACCAAAAAATTTCAAAAAACTTACGATCGGTGAGGCTCGTGATGCCAGCTAGTGTTACGATAGGCACGCTTGTATCCATGCTGTCGAGACAAAGCCTTCAGCACGAATGAAAAACTTGCCACATAAGGCGTAGAAATAAGCAAAGAACCTTTTGAATGGCTTTTAGCCCATCACGGAAAGAGAGAAGTTGAGAAGTTGTAAAATTTCTCACCGCCAGCCATGATAAATTTAACAACAATGGCGGGAATATAATCAACAGTCCATTCGAACGCGCGCCAAACCACCGCGGCCGCCAAACATCCGGGGTTTGGGGTATCCTGAGAGACTGGCACTATTATTGTGGTGTCTGCTTCACCATGCGTCATCAATGAAGGCTAATATCGTTAACAGTTAAAGATGGGCCGATACGGCTTTTTGGAATCAATACGATACCGAGTACGATATCTACTTTTTTCTTCGATATCGATATCGATATCGATATCGATATCAATACCGATACTGTGACGTTATTTTAAAAAGTGTATGTTATAAGTCACGTGATCTGATTGATCGTACGGTTTTCTGTTCAGTTCTCTATAATAGCATCAACAAGACAGTCAAACAAGTCAAAAATTTCAATTTAGTGGGACTCATTTTTAATTTTCCCGAGGAAATGGAGAATACCACAATGGTACAATCTATGTACTTACTATTTTAAGCAACTTTCACTTGCATTCATGATCATAAGACGTACAATGAAAGGTTACCAGTCACGGCACGGGTTACTAATAATAATAACCAAAGACGGGTTTCCGACTCATCATGGATCCTGCGCTTCAATACTCGATACATCAGAGACTCCCTGGCGCACAGGACCATACCGTAGGTGCCATACTTCAGGACTATTTAAACCTTCTCAGTGTTTTTCTTCTCGCTCGAGGGTTTTCTTTAGTAAGCAAGCATACTAGTTTGCAACTCATTTTTGTTACTCCTGATATGTCTTGTAATGCCTGGATTGTTGTGAGTTGTGATTTCGTTGCCTTTGCATCGAGTGACCTTACATTTACAGTTAATAAAATCGGATCTTATTTCACAGTGAAATATTGCACAAGGAAATGGAAGAAAACCGCCACTTTGAACGGTATACCGCGGCAATCTTACATTGCAAACAACTGCACACATGCAAGATCTCGAGCCCGAAGTGTTTTTGGCTACTTAGCGGTTAGTGCAGTTAGGCCACTTTCGGTTTCGAAAGAATCGATACTCTTCATTAGTATCGATATTTTTCGATCCGAACCGGCTCGAACTCGGTATCGCTGGTGTGGAATATTTGATATCGTTATCTGCCCATCCTTATTGATAGTCTTTTCGGTAACAGAACGTGGGTCTGCCGCCTAAGCAGTGCTCTTCTTACGTTTGAATTTTCGTCCCAGCTTTTTTTGCCTATCGTGTTCAAATCTGTCTTTCACCGTTTTGATCAGCAGTTGTGCTCTTTCCTGTATTCCCATCAAAAGTTTGTCATGGTATGTTAAGTAGAAAACCTGTAAATTGGTCATACGGTTAACAGTTTTGTCCACGTTGAATGAGGTTATCTCTACATCACTATTTCTCTTCAACGCTTTGCCATTCGAATTTCTCGTTGCATTTTTATTCGATTGAAATGTCTTCCTGATCGTTTCCATCGCTGCTTCTTTTCTCTTCCGTTTCGTTATCTCATTCGCATTCTCATGATCATCGTTTAAATAGAAAGAATTCTTAAAATTTGTCTGCTCCTAGTGTGTAGTGGTTTCGACTGTGTCGTAAAACAAAGCTTAAGTAACCTAACAAGAGAACCCTAAAAGTACGCGAGATATTAATGTAACTATCTGATAAAAAAAAGCCTTTAAGTGCAAGAGATACTAACGTAAAAATACGATAAAAAAAAACCTTAAAGTGCGCAAGATACTAACTTAACAATCGAATGAAAGAGAATCCTAAAAATGCGCGAGATAGTAACGTAACAATCCGACAAAAAAGAATCTTGTCCCCAAACGGTTTATTTCAATTAATAGGTTGGATAAAGAAAATTTACGTATGATGCACGATCCTCGCAGTAGATAGCGCTATTTAAGCAATAGCGAAAATCAGACCAAAGAAAATTTAATAACATTGAATTTTGGGTGGGGAGCAGGAGTGGGGTGTGGAGGGGAATTCCACCTGGGGTGGTAAGGGGAGGAGTACTCCACCTCGACCAGATTAAGCAAGCTAAGGCTATTACTACCCTACTATTTCATAATTTATGAAATAACATAATCATAAAAAAATTCATGTTTTATTAAGCTATGCATCATTTTATGGTACCAATCTGTTCAGTATTACTTTCTTTTGAAAGAAATCATGATTACAAAGTATGTACCTATCCTGTATGGCTAGTTTTTGATACTTTTCCATAAATCAGCTGGTTGTTAATATTGTTCAAGGATATGATGTAATAGGAATTGAATTAGATAATGAGCTTTAACGATAGTTTTCTCAACTGAAAATGAGAAATTGGGAAAAAGAGGGTTCAAAGTTCACCTTGAGTGATTTAACTCACAACATGCCGCTAAGTAAGGTCTGTACTTGAACCTATTGGACCACCCAGCTGGAATTATCACGGTCTATGTAGCATGTTTTGTTGACAGTTTAAAGTGGCCCAGTATTCTGTGATTTAAGTTCAAACCTGTCTTCTCCCTCGAGATAATATACCTCAGACTGCATTTGTTTTATCAAGCGTTTTTTTTTTTTTTTTTTTTTGGAGTGAAATTAAAGATGTGCAATTGTATGTTCCACCAATTACATTTTAAACTAAGCACAGTGACTGTTACTCTTTCCCTTAAAAGGTAAATACTTCATATAAAAACAATCAGCTACTCACTTAGTTACCTACTTGTTAATCAACTGATAGCATAGTGTTTACTTTAAGTCCGTAATCCGCATAAAAAGGAGAAGTGGAGCGTTTTGTGTCCAATCTATTGTGTTAAAGTAAGTCCTATGCTGTTGTTAGCTCCTTAGAATGATCCTCACTTTGATTCTCCTTTGAATATAAATACACGTGAGGGAGGTTCGTAATGAGAATTAACCTATGTATCAACCAGCTGGGGATTTTGGCTGTAATCAGCAGAGAGAGAGAAACAGCTTTTAAACCTTTAAAGAATGTCATCTAATTGGCTTTGGTTTTAAAAGACCCAATTTACTTGACTTGCTCTTTAAAACAATTATTGAAGCTTTGAAAAGAAAACTTAAGTAATCGCAGTAGCCAGTTACAACAACTAAAAATCGTAGAACTAGCCAATGAGTACTCTCAGAAAAACCAAGCAAACTGCAGGAAGCATCTGATTGGTCGAGAGGATGGTGTGGCTTTTCTGGATCAGTCACAGAGCGTTATGGAGCAAACCTGATGGAGCAAACCTGATCGGATTACTTTGGACACCCAATTAAAATTACCCTTGATATCAACGTAAAGAGCATAATCCTATCATTCCAACAGTTTTCTTTCTTCTTCCTTTTCGCTCCTCGTGAGACAAAAGTATGCGGCTTGGGAGACGAGAAACAGAACCAATAGTACAACTCCGCCTAAAGCAAACAACCGGAATGCTTTTACGGCGCCAAATGCGTCAATGAAAAAGCCACATAAGGCAGTTCCTATGCCAGAACCCACTCCAAAAAACAAAGAGTTCATTCCGCCTAAGAAGAAAAAGAAATGCTATCAGTCTCGGTTCTTAGCACTTAGGGACCAAACATTACGTACATACATACATACATACATACATACATACATACATACATACATACATACACACATACATACATACATACCTATATACATACGTGCGTCCATACATACGTTAGTTGGCCACTCCCCATGGGGGCTTATCAGGGCCAATTCCCACCCATACCACCCCAGGGGAGGACATGCACAACACAGTAATCTCGTGCGTGGGAAATTAAAGTCTTCTACCCCTAACCCTGCAGGAGACGAAGCCTACGGTTTATTCGTCCTTATCCGAGAAGACTAGAATATCTATCCATTTCTTGATTATAGAAAGGTAGCAAATTCTCCGCGCTTATTTTAAGACCATGAGTATCGGTCCGGCCGGGGCTCGAACCCTCGACTTCCCGTACAACACAATCCGGCGCTCTAACAAATTGAGCTAACCGGGAGGCGGTTAGCTCAATTGCTGCGGGGGGGGAGGGGAGGGGGAAGGGAGGACTGCCAATGAGGGGGAACATTAGAATGCTACAGACCCCTGGGAGGGGGAGGATCAGGTAAAATGTATTGTGCCACAGCCAAAATCCTCTGACCCTCCCCACCCCAAGCCCAAGTGACAAATAATGACTACAATTTCCCTTTCTTTTATGTTGAGTTAAGAGTATAGGACAAGGTTTTTATTTTTCTAACAGCAGGATTTTAACTCATTCATTTCCCCTCTGAACAAGACCCTAGGAACATGGTAACGAGTTTGAATTCCTTTCTTGTTCTCACCTTGCACTGTATCCATCAGATGAGTGGGTGTTACCTCACCAAAGTAACTGACAAGGCCTGTTAAGCCAGTTACATACGCGGTGTAGTTGACAGTATCAAAAAGAAGCATAAGCCAGGGGTTCTTCATTAGAGACATTCCCACAAACCAAATGACAAACAGCATCATGGAGAACACAGTGACCCCAGTGTAACCAGTCTTTTTCACGCACAGGCCTGTGAAGCCCAGGAACACCACACTGACCGCCGAGCTGGTCATCCGTGAGAAACCAAACACCAAAGTGGCGTTGGTGACATCTAAGGTCTTGGTGTACCAGAACTCAAACGTGTACGTAACTCCATCGAAAGAGCCAATCAAGAACGTCATGACGATGAAGACAATATTTTGATAGCGAGAGAAGAACTCTAATAGAGTCAACGGCTTTCCGTCGCCATTTTGGTCGGTGTTGTCGCTGTGCTCAGTCGCTTGATCGTCAAGTTGTGTTACAGGAACAAACGAAGCCATAGCCATGATAGAAATGACAGCGAAGACAACAGCAAAGTTGTCTTGGTACTCCCCACAAAGCATATAATGGTAATGGTTGACAAATAGAGCCGTGGTGGGAGCAGCAATCACGTGTCCAATTGGGCCCCACAGTCGGATCTTGCCAAAATCGCGGCTGTTTTCGCCGAGGTAGTCCACAATTTCCGAATTAGCCAAGCTAAAGGCAGGTGACGCGAGAAGTTCTCCAACAAAGACAATGAACACAAATATGAGAAATATGGTTTTGATGTCTTGTGGACTTTTTTCAAGGATATGGACATGATCGCGACTCACAGGTGCTTCTCTTGGAGTCCGTTTATTTATCGCTGGTAGAGAAAGTCTTGAGATAGAATACTCAAGGATGTCAGGCTTTTCTTCCACTTTACGGAAAAGGGGTTGGTTACGATGATTTGTATTCTCGCTCGCTTCACTTTCTCCCTGAGACTTGATCAACTCGTTACCAGGATGGAAGGAGTTTTTTCCCTCTCGAGGGGCGATCATACGACGTTCGCTTTCATTCAGGCTTTTTCCCAATACCACCGAGCACTTATCGTGCGTTCTTCTTGGAACTAACGACACTAGTGGTGTAACAGCCGTGGATAGAATGCTCATCATCAGCAACGCACGTCGAATTTTCCACTTGCATGCCATTTTTCCAAAGATGACCCCGCCAAGGGAGTATGCCACACCCCAAACGGCTCGTAAGATGCCAATCTGAGTTGGAGACAAGCCAAGCTGTTGCCAGTAGACCGGCATAAAGAACAATTTAAAGCTAAAACACGTCTCGAAGAAGAAGTAAAACGAACTTAATGCAATCCTAGTTTTGTGCTGCGAACAAAATTCCGAGAAGCAGTTTGACTTTTATCTGGGCTCTTGTGAAGGTGTACTTGACATTTTCCTTTCTCCTTTTACTAAATACCTGAGACAAAATAAAAACAAACAGACAGCCTACTGAAAAAACGGCTGATAACGTTTAAGCAGATGCCCATAGTACGAATGAGTCATAATCGCCTGGTAGGATTTTTTTTTTTTTGGTATAAATTGGTTTATTTGAAATATCTAACAGTTAGGCTGAGATAGACAATAATGGCAGACATTCGTCGCAACTCTACCTCCCAGTGGACATTTCAGACAGAGGGAGCTTTAGCAACGACGACGGCGATGGCAACGAAATTGTCGTGTCGAAATCTAACTTTTGATTTTTGTAACTCTTTCGAGATTTTTCCGATGTGTTTCACTTGGAAAATGCTGGCGAACTATTCAGGGACTATATCACTACGAACGGCGA